TGGAAAAATATCGAAAAATATGCAATGAAAAAATTGGATAATCTGTTAGGTCGGCGGCAATTCACTAAGTCTACAATTTTGAGAAAGTTTAGTAGAAAGACAGAAAATATGTAATTATTTAAAAATCCAGTCTCTAATTTTGATTTGGGTAGTAATAGTGGTTTTTGACAAAACTTGATAAGAAATATTCACGTGTAATAAGAAGTATTTGCATTGGCAACAGAGATACAAATAGATTTTGGCACTTTACCCCTCATCATAACTCTCAAGAAGGATGCAATCCACTTGTGCAAATCGTGGAAAACAATTATTTGATAGTACTGCTCACAAAATAACTAATTTCCCACCAACACCTCAAAGAGCTCAAGAATGCAAGTGCAGGTAGATGCAAGATTGCAAGTGCATTTACCATTTTTCTAATTCCTTTTGACACAGATTTAGATTGTACATTGTGTGGATTATATTCTGACCCTTGCATTCGTATTGGAGAATGAAATACTACCCACAATCAATATTTTTGAAACTAATATAATAGAATAAAATAAAAAGAAAGAAGAAAAATATTTTCACATTTTATTTTACATTTATTAACTTATTTAAATAAGCAGTCTCTTAAAAGAATGAAACAGATTAGAACAATCCATTTCATAAAAATTCACATTACAGTTCCAATAAAATAGTTACGTTATACACTATGCATATCAGATTGAATGTGATTACATTTAGTCTATTATTGAACTACTATTGGTCACACTTAGCTCGTGTTCAATACAAGAGGTCTGTAATATAGAATGCACAAAATTTTGAACATGGTTGTATGAACCAATGAACCATTACACTGCCCAAAGGCAGCCATAATTTATTGACCCTAATAGTGCATATTTCATTTTGAAAAATAAACAAACACAATCATCAAGTACAATACCAATAGTGAAAATTGTAATTGCAAACTGTAACCTGTATTTTTATGAATTACAGGTCATCTCATCAATGATGTACACACCTCCAATATTTTTAAGTGGTGCAGGACATGTTTTCCTTTATATGATTAGTTCTTTCTAAATATCCCTTAGACTTTGTATCAGCGTAAATGGCAGAAATTTCTGAACACTTATCAAGCAAAATACTCTTCACAACATTAAAAAAAGATATCACTGTTTTACTTTATAATCTGAACTACTGCAGATGCAAAAAACTTACAGGGCCATTTAAAAAGTCCAAAATTGTTCAGTGTCTACATATATTATTATAAACAATAGCTCAACAAATTACTTTCATCATATTTCATGATTATTCAGTGAATTTCAGTTCAATATTGTAACCTATTTGCCAGTTATCAATAGCGTACATAGTCCAAATATGCGTTGTCTACTGATGCACTGGTGGAACCAAATAAACTGTGAATTTGGCTTGTTATACAAAGAAATAATTCGTTGGCATTTACAATGAAATAATTATAGGAGTCGTCTTTGCCAACAATATTATTTATTACAATAGCAGCTTTTGATGGTTTAGCCATCATCATCAGTTTTCAGCTGTATGGAAGCCAAAAATGACTACTTATGATGATGGCTAAGCCATCGAAAGCTGCTATTGTAATAAATAATATTGTTGGCAATGATGACTCCTGTAATTATTTCATTGTAAATGCCAACGAAAACTCACCATAATACAAATATTGTTATTTAAAATAAATTGCCAAATATAATTTTGTACACTTTGTAACAAAATTTATTTTCTTGATTGTCCCATTTTCATCTCTTCAAATAAATATTTTTTTTTCATGAATTTTATTTCAAGATCAGCTTTTAATAACTCTTTGTCTAAAAGTGAAATTTCCTTATCCTTTTTTTCAATTTCCCTTTCTTTTAGGTAAGTTTCTTTTTGCACCAACAATAACTGTGCCTTCAGTAATTCCAATTTCATCTGCCTGGCTTCATCCCCGTCAGTCTTCTCTTCCCAATACTCTGGCCATGGTCGTAACCTTTTTCGGTTTCCAGGGAGATTCCTTCTAACAGGATCTAGAAACATAAAATAAAAGTGTATATAAATCTTTAATCACCTTTCAGATGGTCAAAGAAAAATGAAATACAGTATTTCTTAAACACAAAAGATGGTAACATTCCATTTTATTTAATTGGATTAGGATACGAAAAAGTAAACATTAGTGAAAATGAATGAAGACAGGGAAATTGAAGTTACAAATCTGGAAGTTCTTTTTTTTATAAAATAAGAGCAACTTAAATTTACAAATTGGAAATTCCTCTTAGGACAAGTGGCATTTACCAGGTAACAAGGGTATTTTGAAGTAAAGATTTCCCGATTTAACATTAACAAAAAGTACATATTACTACATATCTACCTTAATCACCAAAAATTTAGTAACTTTATTAATCGGCTGAAGTTTACTTAGTGCTCTTCATGAAGTGATATATTACGCATGTCATTTGTCATAAAATGTTTGTCAACTTCAAGACTTGAAACTAGTGTCTTTCTGCAAACTTCGTTTCATTCAGTGTTCAACTTAGCTTCTAGATTCCCTGTGTTCATTGCGTCTTCAGTTTTGTTTGTTGTGGGCTTCGTGTATTTTTTCCAAGTGTTTTGCTTGCTACTTGGGTTGATTGTGATTCCAGTAAAACCTTGTTAACATGAATTCCAAGGGACCAAAATAATCTGTGTTTTTGTAATACAAATTTTTGCTATATGATTTTTGTATACAACCTCATTACTGTTTCTTTGGTGGGATCCAATATTTGGTTCACTTTAGGATGAATTTAGTGTTAAGAGAGTTTTCTTGCTAACGAGGGTTTACTGTACATGAATTATGAGCATCATGATTATTCTTGTTTGTGTACACATGCATTTGTACTTAAAACATATATTTGGTCTCGTTTGTTAGTTCATGTGTTTGTTTGCTGTGGTGTGGTGTATGTGCGCACGCGTGCATGAGTGTGCATGTGAGGGGGTAGAGAGAGTGAGTTGGTTGCTTGATTGCAAAGGCTTTAATGAACTTAAATAATACATACTCACAAAAACTTTTAGATTCAAGTATTTAATTACAAAAGGTTTTATATTTTTGGGAAGGTTTAATAAAGAATGTATTTATTGATTGTGTAATTATGTTATCAAGATTTTATATTTTTCAATTTTTTCTTATTCATTTTTAACAATACAAACATGTACATTTTTCTTTTATATTACAATAAATTTTAGTTCCTAGTTATATTAGAGTATCTCATCCTATGACCCTATGAAGCTTACATAGTATTAATTTTTGTAAGTGTTCTTCAGAAAATGTTTCTTTCGAATTGCCATTGGTATCTCTTCATTTCCATTGGCAAGAATATGAGTCACTGCACTAAATATTTCAAAGGCAAACGAAACATAAATGATTGATAGACCTCAAATAATGATGAAGATTTTTGTTGAAGGTATCTTATCTAGTCAGGAAATTTATCTAGGTGAAGCTTTCATATTTAGCAACACTGCATCCTGTTCTTGCCAAGTGTCAGTTCCAATATATCCCAGATTGAAGATCAATTACTGTTTAAAGATAGTCAAGATTTACTCAACAGTAACAAAACTCGTTTTGTTTGTACTGTGTAACTCAACTGCTTTTTTTTTATTTATTTTTTAAAATATATACATTACCGTATATACCCAAATAATCCGTCCTCGAATAAGACACAGCACTAAATTTACAGAAAGAAATTTTGAAAAAACTTTTCTAACTCAAAAAATAGTTCCCTTAATTTGGTACATTGATAATGTTGAAACACAATACTGCATCTTTCATTCACATCATATTTCCTTCCTGCTGCGTGTTTACCAATTTGTTCTGCTTCTTCTATTCTGTGTATTTTTTCTTTCATGATGAAAGGTCTCATGCACGAAATTGCAGAAGCCATGATTAAAAGTGCAAGTAGTGAGTATTACTGACTCTGCACACGAGCGTTGGGTTGACGTGCGTCACGTTAGGTGACGCTGATGACGTCAGCTACGTGGATGCTTGCGCGCACGAGTCGCGTAAAGCGCGTCGTGAATTAACACAATTTTTAGGCGGCTCCACACACGCGGCATTCGGGGAATCCCCAGCAACCTGTTGCCGAATCCAGAGAAGTGTGGATGGGTGAGTTGCTTGCTATTCGCCGAGGACAGAACATTCGGAATTCGCACTACCCTCCGTAGTTCGGTCTTTAGGCTACATCAAAGGGAGCGAACATTCGCCGAACACATCAGCTGTTCGGGATTGGGCGAACAGTGTCTTGCTGCTCAGCGAATGACAAATGTATGGAGCTACCTTTATGAAAAACAGCACACGAGCGTTCACGGTGACGCGCGTTGTTGCTTAACAATACTAATTTTATAACCAGAATACTTGAAGATAATTCAAGAGTATTAGACAGACACCAGATCAAGAATATTACGAAGCATACGCACTGGCCATCATCATGTGCCAGATCGCACTGGTATATTTTCTTGTCATCTGACCTTGGACATTGGCAGAAAAAATTTGTCATTTTTGTACATAGCATTTTTGAATTGTCATAAGTTTTGACATCAGAATGCACAGTACTGTAAAGAACATTTTTCTTTTCTTTTTCCTTAATATACAATGTAGCACATTCATGCTTTAGCAGAATTATGGTGTACAATGGAGATTTAATGATTTTCTTCTTACACAAATCATGGTACCAACAAGAATGGGCCTTCATTCTTCAGTATACTCTCAAGTTTTACTGTAGTAAAAAAAGTATCTGGGTCACATTCCGATCTTTTATGAGAAATGCTTCCATCAACTTCCTAACAACATTCTCTGGAAGTTTAACTTTTGGTGCTCTCTGCTCATCTTTGCTAAGGTAAGGAAAATCATTACAAAGGTATTTAGTGTCAATATCACCTAAAAGCCAGAATTTAATTCTGAATTTATTGTGTTTGTTGGGCAAGGGCCAATTTAGTTGACAGTTTATGATCAATGTGTTCCAGATGCTATATATTAAACCAAATTTGTTGGTTTTCAAACTTTCGGACCATGTACTTTTCAAATAAAACAATTGCTCTTGTTCAATGCTTACACATTTTAAAAAATCAGATATATCGCAAAAGAAAAAAATTAAAGTAGTATGAATGACATTTTATGTGAAAATAATATATGCATGTAGATTGTGAGGAATCTAAGAATTTCTCAAAATCTGTTTCTGCTCATTGTTTCTTCCAAAATGGGATGTCAGCATTTTTTAATCCGTAATACATTTAACTCTATTTCAAGCTCCTCCTACTTACAGAAAAATTAATGCATCCAATTCTTCAAGAGTCAAATCCAAGAGTTGTTTCCAAGTACTCTTTGAGCTTTTTTAAATTTCTTTTTTACTTCTGTACACTTTTTTACATTTCAAAATTGTTTCCAGTAATAGGTGCTATGCACTTGCCACACGATCATTATATGCTGCTTTGAATGGGGAGTAGGTTCTTCTTTCTTACACAAAATGTTATGCTGAGAAAACTTGCCTAGAGAGGTAACACCACAGTCTGCAACTGTCCATTCAGTGACTGACAGAAGTGACAATGTAATTAGTATTTATGAAACTAGAACTTATGTTACAGAGAAAATCTGCAGAATTCTTTACAGAATCAAAAATGTTCTTGAATTGAAATAAATTGAAGAATTATGGAAAAAGTCAATAAATGAGTTTCAATTGTCTACATGTCTAAGATTCTAAACTCAAAAGCTATAGTTTTACCTAACTTTGAATAACAGTAGGTGCACATCTTGAATCAATGCAGAAACACACCAGGAAGAGGATATATGGGTGCATAAACATTGATAGGTATTTAATGCTGACATAGCAAAAATGCCTATATACCATGAATTGCCAAACTAATAAAAATATAGAATAGCTGATTCTTAGTATATTACAATTGTCATTATTATTTGGCTCTAGAACTCTGAATTTAAACCATGCATGTACTACTGATCCTGCACTTTAAATTTTTAGGGTCTTAGTTCTCAACATAACATTTTAGTTATTTAAAGTATAGTAATGTAAGTGGTGCTACACCAGCATGTACTTCCTCACATATGATTACTTAACACCTGTACTAAATTATTGTAAATTGATCTAACTCTTCTTGTGAAAAACTTCACCAGAATGGCAGGAGATTTGAATTCAGAATTTTTGAAAGTTAACAGTTTTAACAATAATCAGACTCAAACCACATTAATAAGCAGAGTCCGGTAGATCAGACATTTATTTTACCTAATAGGCATGCAAACAAGTATTTATTCTGGCTTAAAGGGTGCAAAAAGATCACCATTTAAAAGAAATTATTGTAAAAAATAAATAACTAAAATTGTTATTCTAACTCAAAAATGTACATTAGCACTTACATGGAGAGAAACTACATTTTCATTGTAATCTTGATGACCACTTGGAGAAGATGACTACAAATTTGTTTTACTCATGACGCTATCTCTACAAAATGCCATTCTCTTTTTGAAGCACTCCCCTTTTGAATCTTGAAGTGGCATTTATAGTTATTGTTCTTTGAACTTATTTAATTGCCAGTACTGTGAGGATATATCATATGCAGAGAGCTCTGTGTTCAAAAGGGATTGGAGGCTACATTCAAAAGTAGGATGGGATTCTTCAAGAGTGACCAAAGACTTATCGTCAATGAAAAAAAGAAGAAGAATAGAAGAAAAAGAAGAAGAAAAGGACGAATCTTGACAGGTATCATCTTCCTTCCTCATATACGTTTTCAAAACTACCTGACCCTGAAGCCTCTGCTTCCACAAAAAGACAAAACAAGATCATGCCTTTGTG